TCGGTTAAGAGCACCGGCTGCTCTTGCAGAGGACCCAGTTTAGGCTCCTAGCATCCACATGGTAGCTAACAACTATCTGTAACTCTAGTTCCAGGAGATCTGATACCCTCTTCTGGCCTCCATGGGCATTTCATGTACGTAGTGTACCTACATACATGCAGGCAAAACACTCATACACATAAAAATCAATAAATAAAGGGGTGGGAAGAAAGGAAAGGAAATAATGAAACTTGGGTGACATCCAAGAAGATGTGCATCTCATAGAACTCAGCCAAACCAAGGGAGGGACTTTTGTGTTAGGGGATAAGTTTCTGTAACTAGCCCATGTGTGCCTGCCTATCAGACACTGACCTTGCAAGACCTTAAGTAAAAGTCTGGCTTCCTTGCACTCTGTGTCTCCAAGTCCAGTATTTGTGTTTGGGCAAGGGTATTTGTTTCTCACAGAACTCATTATTATTTTTTTATTTTATTTATTTATTTATTTTAATTAAAAGAAGCATTTCATTTTTGTCTTTTTGAGACAGGGTCTCCCTGTGGCCCCAGCTGTCCTGGAACTCACTTTGTAGACCAGGGTGGCCTCAAACTCACAGAGATCCACCTGCCTCTGCCTCCTGAGTGCTGGGATTACAGGCGCGTGCCACCATGCCCGGCTCAATCACATCTATTTTTTACAACACAAATGGGATAACCTTTATTGCTTCCAACAAATATCAGCTGTTTGTAGCACTTGTGTAAAAGATATACACATTCATACATTGTTTTGGCTCAAGGGCAAATGAGGGATTAAGGCTATATACCCAGGTCATAAGGGGAACCCAAGGCTCAGTGAATTTGTCTACATTATAAAACAAGCTAAGACCAGATTAACTTTTTGGTTGCAAGGTTAAGTAAAAGTCATTTGTCCTGAGCATGTTCATACTGTAAAAGTCATTACATTAGCTGCTGTGAATTCCTCTCTGCACTCCCAGATTCACTGATTAAGATGTGGGATCTGGGGGACCAGCTGGGCTCCTGATGTCTCCAGTCCATAGTTCAGAGTTGTATCTTTGCCACCAGGGATGCAGAACACCATGTAAGTCACTAGAGGCTGTGGTTACAGGTCTTCTGTGGTAGTGCCAGATTTTGAGGGGAGCTGGGGAGAAACACATCCCCCTTGGGGTGGCCCCCCTTGCCAGGTAGAGCTGTGAGGTATAACATGTCATGACCATATTGTCATCATTGTGGCCTGTCTTTATCCAGCTCCATCTTCCCCAACAGCTCAGTCTCCTGGGCCTTGCTTTATGTTAGTGCTTAAGTACCAGTTGTCTTTTCCTAGGCAGCTTCTTAGAGGTGAGTGCTATAAGCCCAAGTCCTGGCAGGCTCTCTGACCTCTGTTGACCTGGCACAGAGCTTCCACTTCTGAGAACCCTGTACTCTGTTCCTGCAGTGGGTCTGTTCCTCCGTGTTGACCCTCCTCTTTATAGACTGGACACTGGCTCAAGTCCATCTGGTGGGGTCACCTTGGCCTCCTTGATCAAGAGGTCAGATGACCCACCACCATTACAGGACATTTTGCGAGATGCTCATGGTCCCTGGGAACTAATCGACCTAGGAGAACTCATTATTTTTTAAGTCTTTTCCAACTTTAAGTGTCCATACATTTCCTGCAGCCAGTCTTTGTATGTTCTTTGAATTCCCAAGAGTCAGAGGAGAGGCTTGGGAAAAGTTAAAGCTAGTGAAGGAACCTAGCCCTAGGCCCAGAGACAGGGACCTTCCTGCTTGGTGGCCTGAGGCTGTGATTTGCTCTTACTGTGGTAAGGTGATTCACCAGAGAAGACCACTCAAAGTTTTGCCAAATTTAAAGTCTTTTACTAGCTGGCCAGGGTTACTACACAAGGGTGTCAGAACCCAAGTGTGTAGCCCTGAGCCATTTCTAGGGTAAGCTTTTATACAGAGAAACCATAACCAGGGGTGAAAAGTTTAAATTCCCAAGCTTACCAGTGGAAAGCCCCCTTAATTTCTATTCTATTAAGCAACAATTACTATTTTGCAGAAGCAAGCCAAGCATAACCTACAGAAGCCATAAATATGCAGTTAGCAGGTGCACTCTAGGACATGATGACCTGTTCCCAAGACAACTGGGAAGGCTCTGATGTGTGTTTCCATACCCTGTGCCAACTGCCTGATAATTTCAGAGACTAGAGTCGGCGTAGCTATGGTCAAGAAGGTGCCCTATCACATTACTAGGCCAAGCCTCCCTTCTCTGGTTGATAAAGAGGCTCCCACCCCTGGAGAGTCTGGGGGGAAGTGAAATAAAACAGGGAGCACACTGTAAACAGGGAAATCTGTACAAACATAAGCAACATTTCCTTCTGTCAGTTTCCCACCTTGCTTTCCAAGTTGCTTATCTATTTATAGAGAATTAGAACAGAAAAGATCTATGAAAGTGGAGACATGCCCCGGATGGGAATCTGTAAATAGCATCAGCCAAGTGGTTTATCCTTTCTGGACCGACCTCAGCATGGAGAACAGCTCTGTCTGCGTTGTGGGTCTGTGAGCATAAGCCTGGCTCCTAGCACACAGACCTCTACCAGCAGTGGCCTTTTTGGAAGGTTCTCATATTTGAATTCTGTCACTGCTAACTCTGTACTCTTATCAATAGCCACCAAGGCAGCTTTGTGTTGTTTGATAGACTCCGCCTCTTACTTCTGCTGAAAATGCTGTACCTCTGGGTGCCCAGCATGCCGGAAATCGCCTCCACCCACTTTACCCTGAAGGTGGGTTTTGTTTATAAATCCTTCCGACCCTTTAGAAAACAGTTTAAAGGCTGGGCGTGGCGCATGCCTTTAATCCCAGCACTCGGGAGGCAGAGGCAGGCAGATCTCTGTGAGTTCAAGGACATCCTGGTCCACATAGTGAGTTGCAGGACAGCTGGGGCTACAAGGAGACCCTGTCTCAAAAATACCAACCCCCCCCCAAAAAAAACAACTCAATGGGTGTATGTGTGTGTGAGATGACTTAGGAATAAAGCCTTGAATAAAGACTTGAATTTTTAAATTATTATATTTTATGTGTATGAATGTATTGCCTGTATGTATGTAAGTGCACCCATATTGTGAAATGCCTGAAGAGGTCAGAAGAGGGTATTGGATCCCCTGGAACTGGATGGTGTTAGCCACCATGTGGGTGCTGGGACTCAAACCCAGTTCCTCTGTAAGAGCAGCCAGTGCTCTTCACCACTGAGCCGTCTCTCCTTTGATTCCTGGGTCCCACCTGGTGGGAGAGAAGTGACTCCTGCAAGTTCTCCTCTGACTTTCCCACCCAAGCCATGCTATGTTTCCTGTCCCCAGCACACACAAAATAAATGTTAAAAAAAAATTGGGGCTGGAGAGATGGCTCAGTGGTTAAGAGCACTGACTGCTCTTCCAGAGGATCAGGGTTTGGTTCCTGGCACCCACATGGTGGCTAACACCTATCTGTAACTGCAGTTCCAGAGGATCCGATTCCCTTTTCTGACCTCCCTAGCTAGGCACTGCATGACATAGGTGCACTTACATATATGCAGGTAAAACACTCATACACATAAATTAAAAATAAAACTAAAATCTTACAAAAATCCTTAATGGTGTTGAGAGAGAGAGAGAGAGAGAGAGAGAGAGAGAGAGAGAGAGAGAGA